AGGAACCTCCTAAGAGCTCTGCCTCAAATTTCTGCCCATCCCAACCCACCTTATACATGGCCAAAGTTATTTTCAAGTCTGACCTCATTACTCATTTAACTCCATGTTATCTCTAGGATCAAACATAAACTCTTCTGTTGGGCATTTAAAGCTCTTCCCAACCTAACCTTCCAGAGTTATGACATAGTACTATACTCTTTCCTTAACTCTCTAAATTGTCTTTGTTATTGTTCTTCACACAAGATCCTTCATTTTCCATATCTGTACCTCTACACAGACTATCCCTCCAGCCTTGAATATATCCTCTCCTCACCCGCCTCTTGGCTCCATACTTTCCTTCAAGGTTCTTTAAGGGCCAGCTTCAAGTAACTTCTCCACTTAAACTACCTTTTTAAAATTTTGTTTGTTCTCTAAATATGTTCATATTCTTGCATCATCCTCTTCATCCTTTAGAATGCATGCTTCTTTCAGGCAGAGTCTATTTGGGGTATTTTTTTGTTTGTTCACTAAAACTTGATACAAAATAAGAATCTGACAATTGTCTGATTTGGTTGACTGGGAACTCCTTCCATTAGGCAGATCAAAACCTACCTATAACTTATGGCCTCATAATGCTGTATGAGGCTCAAAGAGGCCCTTGGTCACTGATTTATAAGCAGTAAGAGTAGTAGCTATTTGTGAATGAAGAAGTATCCCATATTCCACTGAAGTTAAATAACAATATTACATGCCTTAAACAGAACACTATAGGGGCAGCTAGGTGGCGCAGTGGATAGAGATCTGGTCTTAGAGCCTCAGACACTTGACACTTACTATCTGTGTGACCCTGGGCAAGTCACTTAACCCCGACTGCCTCACCAAAAAAAAAAAGGAACACTTATTTAAAATTCTAGATCACCATTGTCTTTCTTTTATCCAAATAATTTATATTTTCCTTTTGGTTTTTTTAGCCAAAAAAAGGTTTATTAAAGAATTGCCATATTAGCCAGCCTGTTAAGGAATCTGAGCATCTATGAGCTATTGGATAGATTACAAAAATCTGAGCCAATTGATATTTTTCTTAAAGCAACTCACTTTTACAGTTAAGATGTCTATAGTGAAAGCTCTGATCTGGGTCTTTATATAAAAGTCGAGGGTGTGATATTTTAATTTGAAAAAGTAAAAGCTACTGGAATATGTAGGTGTGGTTATGAATGTGACAGAACACTGCAGTAAGAAAGAATTGAGGAATTCAGAGAAATGTGGAAAGGTTTATAGGAATTATCAAGAGAGCAAAACACACAGAACTAAGAAAACCACATAAAGATTTACAGTTTCATGCAGAATCTTTTCTGTGTTTTGCTATGTCCATGGAAACATGTTTTAAGTTCAGAACAAAAAACTTTTAATGGCCTCTCACCTTACATTTGTGAATAGGAAAAGTCCAATTTCTGACCAAATGTTGGATATGTTCTGTACTTTTGGGGCATTCCAGGGTAGTGACTGGTGGAAAGCAAATTATAATCTATTACTTCTGCTTCAAGATCTATACTTTGGCATCTTTGAGACCAGTAAATGGTCAAAGGTCCATGAGAAATGTGAGAATGAAATATTTCTTCCTTTACTCGAGGCTGGCTAAAATAGTGACATATGAAATGTCATATCTATGATCTCTGGTAATATGGAGCTCTTTGGGCCCAGATGGACATTTATCTATGAACTTGTCTTTGGGCAAAGAGGGGAGAACTTCTTACCTGGTTTCAGGGGTGAAAGCAAGAGAAAAGAATTTAAAAATTTGGGCATACACAAAGTAGCCAATTCTAAACTGCCTAGCAAGAGTGAACCTTGAGTGGTTCTCTCAGAGTGAGAAGAGGTGCTTATGGCTCTGTCCCTTATGGTACTGTATCAGAATGCTAACTCAGATTCTGTGAAGGAGCACAGAATGAGTTTTCAATACATAAAGATCCTTACAAGCCCTTAGTCATTAATATAGCTATGTATAAATTTTCTAGAAAGAAATAGTATCATTCCATTTATATTCCTGAAAGACAGCACCTGCCAATGTGAAATTTTAAGAATTACGTAAATATATCCTAACATACATCATAAGAAAACATTACAGAAATTACAAACCAGACATCAATATGGCATAAACAGTCATACTTTAAAAGCTCTGCCAACTATGACTTGACCAAAGTCACACAAGGAATTAACGCACTTGAGTTCAAACCCAGATTCTTGGACTCCAAGTCTAGTATTTTTATGGATTATCTCAATGAGCTTTGGTATGTGTCCTTAAAAATGCAGAAATTCTACTATAAGTACTGAAGTTCCTGGAATTGCAGGGCCTTTTTTCTTCCTACAAAACTCAAGAGGTACAAAAGTGATTTGTTGTTTAAGATTAATCTCATAGTTTTTCTCTGGATATGAGTAGCATTTTCCATCATGAGTCTTTTGGAATTGTCTTAGATCACTGTATTGCTGGGAAGAATTCTATCAAAGTTGATTATCGCACAATGTTGTTGTTACTGTGTACAATGTTTTCCTGGTTCTGTTCACTTCACTCAGCATCAGCGCACATAAGTCTCTCCAGATTTTTCCTAAAGTCCACTTCCTCATCTTTTCTTACAGAACAATAGTCTTCCATTACATTCACATACTACAACTTGTTCAGCCACTCTCTGACTGATGGTCATCCCCTCAAATTCAAACTCTTTGCCACCACTAAAAGAGCTGCTATAAATATTTTTGCACATGTAGGTCCTTTTCCACTTTTTTTTTAATGATCTTTTTGGGATACAGACCTATTAGTGGTATTGCTGGATCAACGGGTATGCAGTTTTATAGCCCTTTGGGCATAGTTCCAAATGGCTCTCCAGAATGGTTGACAGTTCACAACTCTACCAACATTATGCATTAGTGTTCAAATTTTCCCACATCTTCTCCAAAATTTATCATTTTCATTTTCTTTCATATTAGTCAATCTGATAGGTGTGGTGGTACCTCAGAGTTATTTTAATTTGCGCTTCTCTAATCAAGTGATTTAGAGCATTTTTTCATGTGACTACGATAGCTTTAATTTCTTCCTCTGAAAACTGGCTGTTCATATCCTTTGACCATTTACCAGTTGGGAAATGACTTGTATTCTTATAAATTTGACTCAGTTCTGTATATATTTGAGAAATGAGGCCTTTATCAGAAACACTGGCAGTAAAAAATTGTTTCCCAGTTTTCTGCTTCCCTTCTAATCTTGGTTGCATTGGCTTTTGTTTGTGCAAAAACTTTTTAGTTTAATGTTATCAAATTTATCCATTTTGCATTTCACAGTATTCTCTATCTCTTGTTTGGTCATAAATTTTCTCTGAAGCTAGGTGATGCAGTGGATACAGCTCCAGCCTTGGAGTCAGGAGGACCTGAGTTTAGATCCAGCCTCAGATACCTGATACTTACTAGCTGTGTGACCTTGGCCAAGTCACTTAACTCCGTTTGCCTCACCTCCCTCAAAAAAAAAAATTATCCCCTTCTCCATAGATCTGACAGGTAAATTACTCCTTGCTTTCCTGATTTGCTTATAGTATCACCCTTTACATCTAAATCACGTACCCATTTTGACCTTATCTTTGTATAGAGTGTAAGATGTTGTTCTATGCCTAGTTTCTGCCATACTATTTTCCAGTTTTGCCAGAAGTTTTGTCAAACAGTGAGTCTAAGAAGCTGGCATCTTTGGGTTTATCAAACAGCAGATTACTATAGTCATTGACTACTGTGTCTTCTTGTACCTAACCTGTTCCAGTGATACACCACTCTACTATGGAGTCTAAATGCTGACTGAAGCATGCTATTTTCTCTTTTTTTTTTTCTTCTTGTGGTTTTCCCCTTTTGTTCTGATTCTTCTTTTACAAGATGACTAATGTGGAAATATGTTTAATATGATTGTACATGTATGACTCGTATCAGATTGTGTGCCATCTTGGAGAAGGAGAAGGGAAAGGAGGGAGAAAAAAACTGGAACTCAGAATCTTATAAAAGTGAATGTTGAAAACTATCTTTACATGTAATTGGAAAAAATAAAATACTATTAATTGGAAAAATTAATGTATGGGAAAATTAAGTGTGGGGAAAAAGGGTAAAAAAAAAAAGAAAAAAGAAACCAACCCCTCAAATACTAAGCCTTATATGTGGGTGAGGGAAAAATTAAAATATTAAGCCAGATTCTTTCTGGAACTTAAGTCATTCTCTAGGAGTAAAATGGGGATAGTAAATGAATTAAATTACATTATATTTTTCAAGCTACTGAGTCTGTATATATCATAATCTACCTGGCCACTGCTGCTCTATTTTTCTAGTTCATTTCAGTACTCTAAATATCAGTTTCCACATACGTAAGACATGCAAGTTGAAACATTTGCCACACCTGCACTTGGTAAAATACTACAGCCCTACAGAAATGTGACTATTTTGTAGGGATGTTGTAAGGACCAAGTGAGTCTGTTTGTGTGCAGACAAGTGCTTTAAAAGCTGATTTATTGTGGAAAAATGTAAACACTAATTTTCCTTGATGCAGCACTCTGATTCACATTACTAAATCCATCTTAACTATTCAACGGTTAAGGAAACTTCTGATAGCTTCCTGATGTCAATCACATTTAAATAATCATCCAGTTCTGAAGTCCTATGACTATGGCCTATCTACCACTTTCCATTTTGTCATAATGTTCCTGCCTCTATGAGTCATACTACAGAATGAGTGCAGGGCGAAGGTCAGGTCCAGTGACCTGACCATAGTTTAAAATATAAGAGAATGGGTAAAGGAAGGTATTTAGCACAGATAAGCCTATGTGATACAATGCAAGGACTTTGATTTATGGCATTTTAGACTTAACTCCAATGACCATGCTTTTTCTACTTATTAAATGAGCAGAATAAATTACAAGATCCGTTACTCACCTAGTAAAATCATTATTTAAATTTCATCTACATCATGTTTATAAATTATACACACAGGGATAGACAACACTTACCAATTTGCAACAATATTGGTGTGACCCAAGCTGTTTCCATGGCATAACAGAATTCCCTGCCAAACATTACTGCCCCATGCATCACCCAAAGGCGAACTGGTATGCGGTCTATGGATCCTTCGCTAACTGTCTCATCGTGGTTCTCATTCCCTTTATTTTCAGATTTCTGAAGGTCTGGGGCTGGTGCAGCGAGGTCTTGGACTTGCATAGACTCCGAGTCGGCATTCTGAGGAGCCATTTTCATTACCACCAAAATATATATCTTTATTCTACCTATATAAATAATACTATCATATATCTTTAATGATAAATTAAGGTGTCTTCTCTTTCAGCTTCTGTCACGTTCCTCATGTAGGTTAACACATTCCTCTTTGTACAAACGGGTATCTCAGAACTTCTCACCTATGTCTGAGACATGCAGCAAAAGAGAATGGTATTTGGTAGGGCTTTAAACATATGGCTTGCTGGTTTACTGTGAATTAGAGTTAAAAATCCATAATTGCCATTCAGTTAATACCAGTTTCATCATTATTATTGAAGAGGTGCTGAAATTATTTTTCTTGCTACAGACAGGTGGAAAGGTATCACAAAAAGGTGGTCCACTGTTAATCCCCATCGAGTGACTGATTAATCTGCAAAAAAGGGAAAAAAATAACCAGAACAAAAAAGTCAGTGAGAAAGGCAATAGCTAGAATGGCCTATGTGTCTCTTCAATGGACTCTTTTTTCAAGAAACTTCTCTTTTCCCCAGTTGCTAGCTGGCTAAATTGTCCACAGAACTGATCTTTGAAAGGTACTTAAAAAGCCATCTGGTGAATGTTCTCTGGCCTCAAGAACTGATACAGAATCTATCTGTAGAGAACGACAAATATTTACAAGAAGTACAACATTTTCTTAACACAAAGAAAGCGTGGCATGGTGGCAAAACAACAACAAAAAACAAAAAAAACCAAACCAAAACATGGGATCTATGTGACCAGGGCAAGTCACTTCACTTCTCTGGGCCTCAGATTCCTCAAAATATTAAGGATGGGCTGGATCTCTAGGGTCCTTTTCCCACTTTAAATTCAGAGATCTTACACTGGGAATAATGAATGAAGGAAAATGGAAAATAAAAAGGAAGGATGGGAGAAGAGAAATAACATGCTGAGGGTAAGAGTTCCTTCAAACTCCTTCCCTCAAATAAGTATTATACAGTACAAACATATTCATCTAATTTAAGTAGACAACAGATCCTTTAAATGCCTATCAACACTGGGGGGAAAATTCTTTAGGTCTTCCATGGAAGGGTGGAGCAAATAAAATCAGGTCCTGATGCCTACTCAAGTGGCCAGTAGGTAAGTTCTCTGCTATGCCAACCTCAAAATACAACAACGTCACTTTAATGGCCTATCATTCTATACTTTGTGGAAATAAGCTTTATTTAAAAAAAATCTTTTAATAAGAATTAAACCTTGATTAAGTGAATGGGAACTAACTAGAATTCTCCTCCTCCAAATGTTAACCCCCAACTTAGTCAACATTTAAGAGGAAGAAACAAATCTCCTTCCTAACAAGAAGATAATGTATTCTCACATATTCCCAAGACAGCCTAGTCCCTCTCTCCTTCCCAGGTCACTGGATTTGCAGTCAGAAGACCTGGGTGTACATCTCAGGCTGCGCTACTTACTACCTGTGTGCCCTTAAAAAAGTCACTTACCTTTCTTTCTACAACCCCTTCCAGCTCTGAACCTATGAAAAGCCTTTGAGGATATGCATGGCCTGTGGTTAATACAGACACACACACACACACACACACACACACACACACAATCATAACCATACAGTGATGATAACAGTCTTTAAGAATGACAACACTCTGGCTCAAAGGAAAATTAAATGATTATTACTACAAGCTTAGGAAGAAGAGATCGTCAAAAGGTTTTTCCCCCTTCAGTAAAACAAAAGAAAATTTCTAACCAAAACTCACATTTACATCCATTCCATTTAACTGAGATTCTACCATACTAGTCACAGAAATGGAAGATGCCTCAAGATGTCATACATACCACCTAATTCATAGAGTTTCTATGAAGAACTCTGTAAACACTTAAATACTATGTAAACAAATTTGTTTCAGTCATATCCTCTAACTCAGTTAAAGCTTCATTCAGTTAGAATAAAACACACCACTAAGATACAAATTCCTAGAGAAGGCCAGAAAGTACTCAGAAGTATAATTTTTATTACTTTGGTTCAGGAATCACTGTACTAAAAGGACCCTTTATACCAGGATGAAGTTTAATTTAAGCTTTCTTTTTCTTATTTGGCTCAACCATTCCTGAGACATTCTTGGTCCTATTATATCTCCCAAATTTTATACAAGTCTTATCACTTTCCCTATACTTCAAAATATCTAATATGTATTTTTTAAGCAAGGCAGCTAGGTGGCAAAGTGGATAGAGTGCTAGAGTCATGAAGACCTCTTTCTGAGTTCAAATCTCGCCTCAAATGGTCCTCAGCAAGTCACTTAACTCTGTCTGCCTCAGTTCCTTATCTGCAAAATGGACTGGAGAAGGAAATGGCAAACCACTTCAGTAGCTTTGCCAAGAAAACAACAAATGGGGTCACGAAGAGTTTTGGACAAGACTGAAAAAACTCACTGAACAGCAACAAAATTTTTAAGTCAGACTTCCATTTACATACCTCAAATAAAATTAAGATTTCCTATTCTTCTCACACCTACAATTCTTGAATCATTCATATCTTAAAATAAAACATATGAATTTATCTGTAAATCATATTCTCAAGTGAACTCAACATTAATTTGAAATTCACAAGGATAAAAGAAAATCTGCTCCTTATTAGGAAAAAAGCCAACACATCCATCCTCTAAATAAAATGATCCATATTTGCACTGGTAAACAGATCAACTGTAGTGTTATCTAAACTACAAAATAATTAGTTTTCTAAGAGATCATGGGGATTTAATGAACAAATAAATAGTTCTGTTTCAAGAAGGCTCTGTCTTCTTCTTCCCCATCTACTGAAAACTGAGCCACTGAGCTGCTGCTAGGTCCCTGATTATCAGCTTAATTTCTCTAGAAGATGAAAAGCAGGCAGCACTCCCTGATTATAAATACATGGTTATGACACTGGTTGTGAAATCAGGAGGAATAAGATTGTGTTTGTTTTTTAAAGTTCCCTAACTCCTGCATGTTATAGAATATGAAAAGTCTCTCAATGTTCCTTAATGAACAGCTTTATAATGACTAACAACTAGTTTAGATGTTATATTTTCAAAGAGATTTCTTGATGAAACTTCCCTTACATGTGACACAATTTACATTTCTTTATCATAATACGACCATCTGCATCCTAATTCTGATGTAGAGCTGAAAAAGATGTACTAGTTTATTAAGTTCCCTGTAACAGAAGATTAGCCACACAAAGATGATGTTGCTTTGGCAAGATACTTAAGCACTACTCCTAGTCAAGGATCTTTTATAGTCAATTGATATATTTTACAGAAAGCACTCAATATTTAAGTTGTAAAAAGATTCATATAGTAACAACCAAGCTCCCATTTAAGGTCTTTTCTGTCAAAAACCTTAACATTTCATATTGCCGATTTACTAAAATTTTTAGTTCTTAGCTACATGTCTAATATTCCACTTCATTTTTGAGTCTTCCCAATTACATATGAATTCAGAGAATCAGGTATTACATATAAACACTCAACAGGTTAAGAAAAGTCTATTTCATAATAGCTTAGTGTAAAAAACAGGCAAGATATAGGCCTAAAAATTAAAAAAAAAAAAACTTTCAGAACCCGTGGTTTCCAATTGTGGTAGACACACTAACAGAACTTTCAGATATAAATTTGGTATTATTAATCCCACTAACATGAAAGTTTCAGAATTCTGAAGACAACGTTAAAACATATTTTATATTTCATTTTTTACTTCAATTTGTTTCTTTTTAACATCATTTTTCAGATTTCAAAGATTGACATTTTCTTCAATAAAATATTATAGAAATGTAACATGCTATATTATCATCAAATACATTTTATCAAGGAATATATAAAATTTCTCACCCTTTATTTTACAGCATTTACTACTTGGGTGATGTGAGCTCTTCTAAGGCAAGTAAACTTCAATAAAAAATGGGGACACAGCTCTTAACAATGTTGGACATTAGACAGCATGTCCTTTACTACGGGACAGTTTTGGTTCCATGGTAGTATACAGCTCAGCTTCTAAGGACAGGGCCCCCTGCAGGAACAGAACAGGGCTACAGCTAGACAGCTGGGCTGATCAGATGGTAGTTGACTGGAATAAGGCAAAGCCAGTCTCCTCTCTACCAAGGTGACCTTCCTTTGGAAATTATACCTAGGTCCCCCCAGGAGTATTATTAGTTAAGCACTTATGAAATGGGATGAATTTGGTTTTTGTTTACCTGTCATTCAAGCAGTCTGGGCATTAAAACAGCTGGCTTCCCTTCCTCAAGTAGTGCAAACGTGGAGGCACAGTAAATAGTTTTTACACAGGTAACTTCACTGTCATCTATATTGGTGAAAATGACAAACCTTGTTAGCATCTTTGGTTTAAAAATTAATAAATACACATACTAATTCATCAAAAACTAGGCAACTGTATGTGGTTTAATCATGTGCAATATTACAAATTGAGGAGCGGCAGTATTTACCAATAGAACAGAAGCAGCTTAGCATGGTTTCCAAGGAGTCTAGGTAAAGCTTTTTCAAAAAAGCTTAGGTAATTTGCCTAAACTATGACTTTAAAGACAAATAACTTTCAACCCAGAAAGCATTGTGCTGCTTCCTTTAAAGATACCACACTAATTCAGTTTACAATACCTAAACTGTTCCTTATTTTATATGGGGCACCCTACAGCTCTCCCCCATCATATCAAGAAGACTCTAGCTTCTATCTAACAATGATTCTCAGTTTCATTTCTGTAAAGCCCTAGGATTTCTATAAGTGTATGATTGGTACACTGCAATTACCCTGTACTGACTACACACGTATTTTCATTTATTTATTTGTATATATGTTGTTTTCCTCCACAGAACAAATTCCATATGGGTAAGAACAGTTTCCTTGCTTGTCTCTGCCACCACCCACTTACCACAGTGCCTGACATATAACAAGACATTTAATAAATGCTTCACTGACTCATGTACGAATGTTTCATGGACAGTGATTACAAATAAGTTTAACAGTCCAGAGAACAGTAATTCTCATACATTAACATAAATGGAAAGTTGAGAATGTTACATCTAAGAAGGCAGTAAAGTTCTTGCCTTGGGATTCTTTCACCTTTCTTCCCTTCCCCTACCTTTCCACCTTCATTATACCCTCTTTACTTTCCCAGGACTAGCAACAGAAGAGATAGCTTTTCCCTCTCCATAAAGAGGCTGCTATTTTGATCCTCTAGATAGCAAAATGGAAAATATAAGGCAGGGGAAAAATGGAGCTGGGGTAAGGACACAGGTTTTCAAGGCATACTTAGCTGAAAATTATGGCATATCCTTTGAGAACTGCAGATCGAGGGTATGGAGGAGCTTTTAAATGACAAGTTAGTTGAATTTCTCAAGTTTCTTCCTTCCTTTTTTTTTTTTTAAATCAAGGGAGATACTTCTCCATAGTCATTGCCTCCACTCCAGTACCCATGTTACCTTAAGATTCCCACTAGACAACCCTACTTCCTTAAGTGGACCATGTTCCAAATTATCTATTCCTCTCCCAATTAAAAACTGTTATAAAAAAGAAATACACCACCTTGGGGGAGAAAAAAAAAAGAGGGAGGCAGAGCCAAGATGGTAGAATAGCAAGAAGCAGTATCTCCAACCCACAAGACTCCTCCAAATACATCTAGAAAACACACCAGACTGAATTCCAATGGGGAAAGCCAAGAAAAAGTCATAGTAATTTTTCCTGCCCAGGGTGGCATAAGGAGATAGACAGAAGTCTACGTGCAAACAAAATGGACAGAGCCTGGCCAAGAGTGGCCATGAGAAGCATACTACCACTTAGGGAGAGGCTATACACTAGTGCAAAAGGAGAACTCAGACCCATAATAATAAACTCCATTTGGCAATTTTACTACTTACTATACAGTGACAGGTCATTTATCTAGGGAGGACTTAGAATAGGACAAGCACTCAGAAATAATGGGGGTCCTGGGCTCCATCAATAGAGAGAAACAAGTTCAGAAGCAAACAAAAGCTATGTAGCTTGGATATCAGGAGCAGACAGCGTTCTCAATTCCAGCTTCTCGCCTAGACTGAAGCCCATAGAGCAATAATCAGGGCAGGACACCAGACCAAAAGGGGAGCCTGCAATTCTGCTGCTCATAGAGTCCCAGCTAGCTGCTACTGGCTTAGTTCAGCAACCGTAGTCTATTCTTGCTCAGACCCAGACCGAGGTACAGAATTTGCAGAGCTCAGACCTGGAGGAAAGGTGATCAGACTTTGACACGTATCATACTAATTTGGAAGCACTAAAAGATTGATGATCCCTAGCCTAAGCTTTCCCTGAGATCCTGGAATAGCACAACAATCATACCCTAAGAAAGCAGCAACAGGACCAGTCTAGAAATTCCTTCTAGAAGTGCACAGTCTAGCGCTATAAACATCAAGCCTAAAGTCACAAAGTAGGCTGGAAGAATGAACAAATACAAATCCCATTAAAAAGCCATAAGAGTGACAGAGACACTTGAGACACAAACTCAAAGGAAGAGAATGATTCTGCAACAACTGCAGCAAAATCTGAAAGAAAAACATGGCTTGGGTAAAAATTCAAGTAGAATTCTTAGAATGAAAGCACTATAGGAAAAAATTGAAAAGAAAATAAGTATAGAAGAAATAACTGGAAAGAGAACGGCTTGGCACAAGAGGTACAAAATCCTGCCCAAGCAACAAGTTAGAATGGAACAAACAAGCCAATGAACTCTCGTGAAACAAGAAAAAAAAGTAAAATACAGTCAAAAGACTAAATAAAAAGAAAATTTAAGGTATTGCATAGCAAAAACAAGTAACCTGAAAATCAGATCAAGATTCAAGAATCACTGGACTACCTGAATGCCATGAGCAAAATAAAAGCACAGGCATCATATTTCAAGAAATAAGTAAACTGCCCAAATCACTTAGAATCACAGGACAAAGACGAAACAGAAAGAATACACCAGTTGCCTCCTCCAAAAAAAAAAAAAGAGCCCTCCAGATGAAAACTCCCAGGAAAATTATAGCCAAAAGATGGTGCTCTCTCAGGTCAAACGGCCACAAAGAAAGAATTCAGATACAAAGGAACCACAATAAGGATTACCTGAAGAGTGGAAAACTAGAAATATGAAATTTTAGAAAGCAAAGGATATAGGTTTATAGCCAAGAATAACTTATCCAGCAAAATTTGAACTGCTCTCTCAGGTAAATTGGGCAAATGAGAGAATACACATAAGCGTGCATACATATGTATGGACATATATTCATAATACATACACATACATACTCAAAAAGGATACATAAATGTATTTCCCTCAACAGAGAAATAGGAGAGAAAAGGGAAGGGGGAAACCAGAGAGAATAGACTAAGAGACGGATTAGTCCTAAGAAAAAAATTACTCTATGCAAAGATATAGAAAAATATGTTGGTTTCAGAGCAACCTGAGAAGACTTATATGAACTTATGCAGAGTGAAGCAAACAGAACCAGGAGAACAAATTATACTAAGACAATACGGCAAAGACAAACAACTTTGTAAGAATTAAGCACTCTGTTCAGTGTAACAACCAACCACAATTACAAAGGATTAATGATGAAATATGCTCACCCACTGCCTTCCTGAGCAGTGAAGGACTTGGAGTACAGAATAAGACATATGTTTTTGGACATAGCCAACATGGAAATTTGCTGTGTTTCACAGGTGATTTGTTTTTCTTTTGTTCTCAATTGGGAGTGAGGGTGGGAGAGCAGTATAGAAAAAGCAGATTTTTGTTGATTAAAAGAATCCAACAGAACATTAGTATTAATAGTATTTTCCCTGTGAACTATTGAAGAAATTATCAAAAAAATATATAAAACTTGTGGCAAAATTTAAATATCCAGGGAGAAGTCTGACTGGGAGGGAGCATGAACAGGGGGCATTATTCATAAAAATATATATGTGTTCCAGTCAATGGACTGGACAGACAACTCAGCTCTACATTTCATTTCAATCTTTTTTATAATTTCTTCCCTTTCTACCTTCAGAAACACACAGATGATTCTTTAAAAGCTCAGTAATTTTATCCCAGCTGTGACCAGCAAAGGGGGAGAAAGAACAGGGAGAGAATGCAGCAGGTAGAACAGAGAAGGGAAAGCAGCTTTACAGAAAAAGTAAAGTGAGGCACAAAGAAGGTAAGGGACTTGCTCACAGATGCAACAACTAATTGTCAACATCTGAACTGTAACCGATTTGTACTGGCAAGTCACTCACTTTGAGTTTCAGTCTCCTCTGTAAAACGAGGGAGTTGGCTAAAGTTACTTCTGTCTCTAAATCCTACTATGCTATGACTCTGAATCCAAGCCATTGTTCTTTTTATTACATTATACCACTGGGCTTTTTGAACATTAGGATAGGTAAGTGAGGGACAGCCTATATTTCAGTCCACCACCAAGTAAAAGTTCCGTATCATAAAGGAAGTATTTTTATTGTACAAGACACCATAACTCTTTCCACAATATACAAATTGTGGTAAAGGGAAAATGCTCCTAACAAATCAGACCACAGTGTCCAACTGACTGCTGAACAGATAATACTGCCCACCCACATACACTCCCAAATTCCCAGTCAACTATATTAAAACCTTAACAATGCTGAAAGCATGAAAGAACAAGTTTCTCTTCCACAGCTGTGCCAATATTTTTGGAATCAGTTTTTCACATATATTTAAAATTCCCTGTTAACACATTATACTGCAACCAACTCTTCCAAATTCTACTTCAGATCAGCAAAAAACTTGGAAACACAGATTTCCCCAAACAAGAAAAAAAGCAATCTAACTTGGAGCTTGTTCCGATGATTGTTTGAACAGTCAGTGACAATAATTGTTATGATTCTCAGATGCACTCAGACAAGTGAAACTACAATTGTTCAAATCAACAACTTCCTCTATTGTCCTGCTTCTAATTTCATGGTAACTAATGCCAAAACATGTGACTTCCTTCAATTTGTTATGTGGAAAAGCTTGCTGAAAATTTTTTATGATTAGTTTAAGTTATCTCAATATGAGTCCCGTATTTTTTCCAGACAGACTGCATGACCGGTCTTCATTTTTCTTTGGGCTCCATTCATCCACTCTCTTGACTTTTTCCATCATGCCACAGTAAACTTCTCACCCTAGAAGTTCACTCTTTATTTACAGTCCCTTCCTCTTGTCAGTTGGTTCTTCTGGGACAGGGTGTGATGGATCCATCTTCCCACCTGATACAATTCAATGATTACACACTCTTTGGGATCAGCCCATGGCCAAGGGGTCTACCCTCACTTCTGAAACCACTGGCACA